TTTACCAACCCAAACTTAGAACGAGTGCAGAGAAAGAGAAAAAGGGAGATAGAGAAGAATAGGGAGATGGTGAATTAGTGAAAAGCAGAGAAGAACTCTGATGGGACAAGGTCTCAATTTATAGGGAGGGAAAACAGAAAGGGAAAAAAATTAGCAGAACTAATTATGCTATAACGACTAATAATTGATTGCATAATAAACATGTGGGTCAAATCAATTGGTCACTGATCAAGGAAAATAATTTCGGGATTAATTATTTGAAAATAAAAAAAAAATGTGAAAAAAATGGTCAAAGTGGCAAAACTCGGGTTCAATCATGCACACCCACGAGGCCCAAATTCGGGGATTAGCATCCCCCCCCCCCCCCCCATGCTCGAGTTGTTTGCAACGCGCCCAATTAATTGGTTTTTGAAAAGATTTCTCTAAATTCTTTGGGCCTCCACTTGGCCTCATTCGCATGAGAGTACCACTATATCCTATCCCACAATTACTAAGTACTTATAGTGCAATAAAATGTAAAGTGAAACTTTTTTTGCTGTTTAGTTAATGCGGGATAGAAATAAAGCGGAAGAATAACTATCGAATGTTCAACTCGAATGGGTACAAGACAAGGGACTTTTATCTTTTGAAATACACTTCGTTAACTCGAGATTTACAACAGGCTATGAGGACGAGCCATCGTTGGTTTGTCTAGAAACTTTAAGCGATGATCTTCTAAGCATTTTAGTTTAGGGTTTACATTGTAAAGTCTTACTATATACATATATGTATATATGCTGGTGTACCACTAGGTCTCATTGATATGACTCATCTGAAACTCTGATGAAGTAAAGATTTTATGTGACATTGATAAAACGATATATCACCCATATCACTCTTAAACTCTGACAGCACTACGATGACTCAACTCTACTAAGTCTAATAACTTTCTGATATGATTTAAAATTGACATGTCTCGTCACTGATGATACTACTAAAGTGAGACATCACATATAACATTGACAATACTAAGATGACTGAATACTACAATGTCCGATAAATTTTCGGCATGATTTAATTTTGAGTAGACTTATCATGATGACGCTAATAAACATAACTCATTGTTATTGGTGCAGGTCTCATTCATTAGACTTGTGATTCTTAATCTAAAACACACTCATCATCTGACAGGTGCCATTCATTACTCAATATATTATTTTGTTCAAGAGGCATTAACTCTCGCCCATGATGCAACTAATGTCTTGTCAGTAGCAATTTTGAGTATATAGCATCAACTTCTACGAACCAACATCCTATTGTTCTGCGCTTGACAGGGGCGGCCCAAAGTCAAGGAGGCCCTAGGCAAAATTTTCACATGAGGCCTGTTAATATTTTATCTATTGTTATATTTTATTTTAAATTATTATAATTTTTTTATGTTTTTTAAAAATTAAAATATTGATCAAATTTTTATACTCAAATTTTGACAATAATTTTTTAATAGATAATATTGTTAATCATTCACTCTTATTGTAAATAAATTTTCCTTAATTTAAGTTTTCAACAAGTAATTAATAGTAGAATATGTGAGCAAGAATAATTTTAAGATAATAAAGAATCATTCTTTACCCATGAGTAATGTGCATGTATGAAGTACAAACCTTTAATAACATAGACAATTTAAGTATAAATTATTTGGAATGAAAATTTATATTAAGACAAAAAATGAACTAATTTTATAGATTTTCACCCCAAGAAATAATGAATATAAATTTTTTATGTGAGTGAGTGAAATACAACTATAAAAACCCCAAAATATTTAGAAAATTTTAAATCAAAGCTCATATGAAGGAGTAATTTTGGACCCAAAAAAATTAGATATTAATTTGAATTATTAAAATTTAAGCCCTAAAAATTTGAATCATATCTAAAATACAAAAAAAAGGACTATTAAACTAAAGTGGTAAAATTTATGAAAGCCTCTAAAATTTGGGCTTAACCAAGTAGAGAATAATTTTGGACCTAATAAAATTAGATACTGATTTGAATTAATAAAATTTGGGCTCTAGAAATTTTAATATCTAAAATATAAAATAAAACATAAAAAATTAGACCTACTATACTAAAGGGATAAATATTATGAGGGCCTTTAAAATTTAGGGCCCTAAACAAACAACTTAGTTGCCTAAAGGTTGGGCCCGCCCTGCCGCTTGAAGTCAGCTAACTACTGAATCATAGTCTCATCACATATTTCTTCGTTTGCATCATCAATAAACATTGATGTGGCACGGGTGCACGAAGTTTTAGTAGTTCTGTGTGTAATGCATTGACACGAAATGGTCACTCTCTTTCATAATCCGACATAATATAATTTTAGATTAATATATCGCTCACTTTTATAATCATTGTCCATTTATTTTAACAATTTGTTCGTTGTCATCTACGATTGTTCAAAACTCCTGTTGCACTGGATGTAGACATAACACAAATTATGTATGAATTGGGAAAGTGTTAGAATGATGAATATTCAATCACCCGTGGTGTGGATACGACATTTAGATAGTGGGATGTAGCTTCAGCAGGGAGGAAACATGTAGTAAAGGTAGACAACAAATAAGTGATCTCTCAACTAGCGCATTAGTGTTTAGTCACCGTATGTAAAAATAATGACAAAATACTTAGTGTACCAAACATTTTAAGTGCAACTACAAGTCATGAGGGTTAGGTCACATTATCACATCCTTATAAAAATGAGAATGACGATTCAGACATTGATAAATGAAATGTATGAATCACATGGTTAGTTCGGATACACTTGGCATGGTGTACATTTGTTGCATGTCTTTCTTACAATAAACGTGACAATGCATTATATTATTAGTATTTATTCAACTTATCCACTTAGATAGTCGACACATTTTTCAGACATGTATTATAGTCCACGTACGTTTGAAACAATGAGTTATAATTGGACGCTAGAGGATTAGTTCTTATATCTATTAAATTCTCATTTATTTTACTCAGTGTCATCTATAGTGTTGAACAAGTGGGAATATCGTTTAAAGCAAAAAGAGGTTTTAAGCGAAGATCTACAGATTTACAATGTACGAAGGCTTCTTCAAATCATCATTGTCATGCCCATTGATACTCAACAACTTGAAAGAGAATAATTACGTTTTAGTGCAAAAAACAAACGTATGGTCATTCATTTGAGTCAGTACACCATGTAACCCATTGTACACGAGCATGTTAAGAAAGGATTAATGGAAGAACCACATACAAGTTTAACGTTGAGTAGGGAACCAAATTGTAATTTCGATGTTGAAATGTCTGACAAAGATGACCTACAACAAAAAAATTAGTGATTCTATTTAAAATTATGTTATTACGTGGACTTAATTGGCAATATTTTAGCAGATAGTACAAAATTCTATTGGTAGTCTTGCTGTAATGGAACAGTGAAAATAAATTTGCAAAACATAATTGTCAGTTAACATTGCCCAAGTACAATAGCATGAAAAATGTAACATAATAAATTACAGTGATACATAGGTTTTGTTCAACAACACAATAAATGTAACAGACTAAACAATATATAAACTGTGACATGGAGGTGGCCGCCTCTTTCGCTTTGGTCTTCCCTCAGGCAGATGGGGCTCTTATGTTAGCTGCAACATTCTTCTTTTTTATTTTATTAAACTTCGTCAATACGAGAATAAATTTATTAATAAGGATAAAGAATACACTGTTGGAAGAGGGGGAAGGGGTGGGGACATATACCTTACCCTTATATGAAAGCTAGAAACATTATTTCCTTGGAAAAAAGAAATTAATGCAACTTCTAATTTAAAAAACAGTGTCCTATTTAGATACAAGTATCTTTTTCCTAAAAACTCTTGTTGGCCTTGCACTAGGGGCTGCAACATTCCAACATCACAATGATGTACATGATGGCCACGACCCCTATCCCGTCTTCTGCCTTGAACTCTAGGTGCTACTCTTGCACGACCTCTACCTAAATGTGGGGCCTCTTGTGTCGATCTCTCAACAAGAACGTCATCATTTGCTGAATGGGTCACCGGTGGTACAATCGGTGTATGAAACGTATCATCAGCTATGGTGTATCTGTTATAACCTCGACCAATGTTGCAACTCATGTTTCAACTACCAAGCTTGCTAAATACTCCTCATGTAAAGGTGTGTGCAGTGATCTATGTGATAGGCTTGCGGCTAAACAAGAAAAGATCAATGGTGAAACAACTGATGTAATTTTAGATGTCACCATGGGTACAAGTGTCAGAGGTGAAGGAGAATGGACAACAGTAGGAGCAACTGATGTAACTATCACCTCTACTGAAGACTCTTCTTGTAAAGGTGTGTGAAGTGATATATGTCATGGTGATAAAACCCAATGATAAGTTGGTGATGGAACAACTGACGTAACTGTAGATGTCACCATGGGTGCAGATGTCACCACAAGGGGTAGATGTTGTAGATAAAGGGCCAACGAGTGCAGGGGCATGCTCAACAATAGAGGCAGCTGATGTAATTGCCGACAATGGCTGTGAAAGGGTAATAGATGAAAGTGGTGGGCCTGGATTTGAAGTGGAAGCAGTATCCATTGTTGAAAAGGTCTTTCGTGGGCCTCGTGTTGTGGACGTCCGCTGTTGTATACGGATATCACATGGACGCTCAGTAATTGACGCTGCAACTGGTGGCTGCCTAATGTCAGGCGGTCCTGAATAAGACACTGGGGCTCATAAAGTGCCTCCAAACACTTGGAGCTCATATCTTTGAGATGGGCCATAGCCTCCAAGAAAGTAATCAAGTTCAGATGACCCTCAATCGTCTAATGTACAGAGTGATGTGTCCGTGAATGTCTCCTCCTACATAAACATATGAATAAAGTATTGCCTGAATATGATGTAATGATGGTAAGATGTAAGCAAATAATTACAAATGTGTACCAGTAACTCAATGACAATACCAACAAGCTGAAACCAACATCAGGCCTGGGAATAGGTTAACTATCAAGACAACGAGTACTGTGTCGAAACCATACCATATATGAATCTGTGGGATCCATCGGACCATGGCTGGACTCTCCCACAATACTATTATCCTGACGCTGGGCTCACCTCTCAATATAGGTCCGATGAAAAGAAATTCAGTCATGTCCTGCCCTGCCACGACGATTAGCATAAACATCCCTACTAGTATCACATGCCCCAAATATACATTGTGTAAAACCATATTGTCGAATAACATGGGTGAGAAATGTCACTAAACCACATCAAAACATGAGGGTGATTGTTTTCTCCACATATCTTGAGCTACAAGGCAATAGTCTCGTAGCCAAGCCAATGCATCAAGTGTATGATTATTACATCATCTGAAACATAAAAGTATCACATAATATGTTAGCACGTGTAAATAAATTTACAAAATTATTTTTCAAACTTTAAAAAAAAAATGGGCAAAATATCCTCTAAAAACAAGACGTCATAAAAATATCAACTTGTTTACTTAGTTTACATATAACATAATATGAGCCCAAATGACACCGTAATGAATCATAAATACAACAATGTGCAAACAACCACAACAACATAAACACACGAAAAATGCAAACACAAACCATTAAATCTAGCACACACAGTAATAAATTTATCCAACAATTATACCGCTATTTATCTAAAAAAAATTCGGCAAAATTCCATCAAAAAATAGGACAACCAAATCTAAAAACCTGTCAAACCACCAACCACCATAATCATTTTCAATCCACCACAAAATACTAAAGAGGCTATTACAAACCTCCACAATAACGTTAACACACGAAAAGTGCAAACACAACCCATTAAATCCAACAAACATAGAAATAAAGCATCTATATTTATGTTAAGAAAATAGACAATTTCCCTAAACAATGACCGCAGAAAAATAAAAAACTACTTTCAAACCACCACAACATACTACTAGGCGGTTACAAACCACCACCACTACAAAATCCCGCGAACATAAACCATAACAAAAACTAAAATCGAGTTCAAATATCACATGAACATTCATTCATAACAAATGTTTTTGAATTATCCCTGCTCATTTGTTATTTTGTCAAGTTGATATCTGTAATGTCGTAGAACATGTGTGGGGTTGTCTTGCTCTGAAAATGTCACATCCCAAATGCAACAAAAAATAAAAAAACACAATCCAATCAAGGACATAATTGCATTTCAAATGACATGAAAAAAAAAAAAAAAAATACCAGTATATGGTATGATTTGTTCACTTACCTACACCCTAGAGGACGTGCAAGTAACGCCTCGTCAACATCTACCTGCTCTCCAACATCTGCTGCAATATGTGGAGCAGCCTCATCCGGATGTACCCCACCTAAATCTTCTTCAACATGTGGTGCGTACTGACGTGGGGTGCTCTCATGCCCACTACAGAAATGAGATACATATTATTAACAAATATTACATGTCAAGTTCAAATAGGTTTATAAATTACTTAAAATTGATATGAAGGAAGTATACATATTATTAGCAGCATAACAAAAAGGCCACTAATGTCTTTAGCATAATATCTAGTCGTGACGCACATCTCACAGTATAGTCTCGCCAATGTTGCGCAGTCCTAACTATACCTTTATGCAGCATTAAGATCCGCGAGCAAAAGAAGGTACATGAGCTTAATCTTACTCGATGACTTATCTAAAAAAAAAATCCAATCAATTGCATGATGTATGATAGGCAATGAAATGCTCGGTTGCATCAACATCTATCCCCTTCTCCAATTGTCCCTCAACGAACTGAGCCTTGAATGTGGATCGGTCTATAGCTCCCTCTCCAAGGGTAGCCCGAGCAATATAGTTATATCCTACAGAGTGATGGTAGCCTCACCTACTGGGTGGAACGAGTGCATCTCAACACCACCACCTTTCCACAAGAGCAATGAGGAGATATCAATTGAGCTACATGTCCCCGATCTGATGCACACCTGAAAAACAGTTGTAAATAGATATCTAAGCACCCAACGATTAGTGACATGCAAGCAACGAAGCAAGCATTCACTGCATGTACAATGCAATGGGTGGAGACCACGGCCTTGCTAGATATCCTAACGATGGTGGGCCTATAAAGATAACACATATGGATCATCCTGTTCGGGCTACACTAATTGATGGGGATCGTGTAGGAATTGGATATATGTTATAGATTAGTTATGAGAGTTATTTAGATAATTTGGTTATTATTGAATACTAATATTGCTTCCTCCTCAAATTATTTCTCTTTTTTCATCCCTTTCTTCTTTTCTTCTCATCTCTAATTCTTCCCTTCCTAATCTACATCACTAATTCTCTCAGATCCGGCTCTATTCTTAGAACCTAAATCTGCAAATGAAGTCAACAGAACATTAATTACCCATTTTTTGCATCAAATATAAATAACTATCAAGCAAGTGCAATCAAAAAAAATTCAAACCAACTTGTTTAATTATAGATGCAAGTAGTGATACACTAAAAAATAACAAAAAGACACACAAAGATGAGTATGTGCGGTTCATTGCAAACTTTGATACAATCAAGTCAAAATGACATAAAATAACTAAGTACTTATAGTTGATTACCCAATGTTGAAGCTTGTAGGTTTTTCGATGGATAAGGTTCATTACAAACTTTGATACAAGCAAGTCAAAATGACAAAATAAAAAACTATAATTGATGACTAAATGCTAAATTCGTACGTTTTTCGATGGAAATTTTCAACAATTGTGTCCCAATTGCGTATGCACATCTTTGAATGACCTAAAACTACTCGACAAAGCTCAGGATCAAGTTATAAAGTGGGGCATTCATGATCATCCCAATAATCTTGATGGTAGAGAGGATGAAATTCAGGTGCACTAGGGTTCTCTAACGAACGCATGCTATATACACTAGATCTATAAACTTCATAAAGTCCAATCTGAAATGCGAACAAGCAGTCAACACATGAGAAAAGGCATTCGAAATATGACCCATTTTTCGAAGGTGCACAAACACCCGTCAATACAAACGTGTATTACCCTTCATCATCACCACTTTGACAAGTCTACACTGCGTTTGAAATGTCCTCAACTCGAGCCAACCTTTCGCTAGGAATGTGCTACAATCTTAATGGCATAACTAGAGAACACCATACCATTTTTGGTTCGACAAGTCCATGCTACATGTGAAATGGCCTCAACTCATGCCTAGCCTTTTGCTGGGAACATGATACAATCTCGATGGCATAACTAGAGAATGCCATACCATTTTCACAGCATTTTACTCTGCATCTCGGTTATCATAAAAGTATTTGGTGACCCGAAAGAATATCGATTGCACATAAGCAGTGATGGGCATAAAGCTTTGCACCTCGGAGTGCACTATAGAAAACCTCCTAAATGTTGGTTGTTATCATGTCATATCATCATCTGTCATCATGGGCTAGTGTCCACTGGTGTATTGAAATCTTGTTCAAGTACTCCCACGCTTCCCCATTAAGTGTCCTTATCTCCTACATCAAAAGATTGAACTTGCAGATTTGCCACACTTTCCCAGCCCTCTATACAAGCTTCTTCAAGTACTCATCCTTAAACTTAAAATTCTCCGCACACGACTATGATAGAACTGGTCAATGTTATAAGGCGTAAAACAAATCGAAGCGAACCGATCTCCTGAGGGTCTAAGTGAGAAATGAGAAACGAAGCGAGCGCTTCATTGAAGCAAAGCGAATGATTTAAAAAATAAGCAAATATTTTAGTTTAATACTTTGATTACTCTAAATATTCAAGTTTTAACTTTACAAATATAAAATTATTTAAATATAATCAAAATAATAAACTTCAACATATTTTAAATATACAAAATATTAAATATTGAACATTATTGTATTCTAAAAATAATCAATTGACATAATCACGTCATTTAAATATAAAATTAGCAAATGTGAGTTCAACTTCTACCATGATTGATTAATATCACCACTAAACAAAGCACTCACAAATTGATTAATCAAATAGAATATATAGCAAATTAATTAATCAATTTGATTAACCAAGAAAATTGATTAACAAGAGCATTTACATCAAAACAAAGCATTCAACATTATCTAATCTTAGTAAGACAGATTGTCATATGCTACTGTTATATGAATCAATCAATTTATTTTATACATATACACATATAACTCCATCTCTGCTAAAGTTTGGTTAATGTTAAAGAAGGAGGAGGAGAAAATAAAAAAACTGCAGTTAGGCATTCGCTTTTCTCGCCTGGCTCGCTTCTTTGCTTTGTCGCCTAAGCTCACTTTTTCCTCTCTTTACTTGACCTCGGTTCAACGCGACCAAGGCT